GCCAAAATACAAAGTTTATAGAAATTTACAGCTGTGTATGTCCACTTTCCTATACAAACCCCCTAAAATGACTGTACTAACAGGGAAAAGCTGTGGAGGGTCAAGCTGATATCCAAGTGTCAATCATTTCTCACATTTAAGATTGATTGAAAAAATAGAAAACGAGTATAAAATGAATTTCATGGAAACTTTAAAAACCCCCAAATATCAGCGCCTCTGAAAATCATTGTTTTTGGATGAGAGACTCTCTCACACTGAATTCTTCTCTGGATACGCCAATGCAAAACCAAAAGAAAGTTAAAGCGACCTTGCTGAACATAAGGCATGTTCAGTTGAACAAAAAGCAAGTACAACAATAAATCTACTAATACTCTGTTATTATCGATGTTGGCAAAAACCTGATTCTCCTTCAGGGCAATCGCCTCTGAAAAATTCCATTTGTAGGATTATGTATAAATGAATCCCTAATGTAGATTACTGAAATGAAAAAAAAAGTGAAGGTAAACTGGAAATGAACTGAACATGTTGAATAAATTATTACACAACGAATTAAATAATATATAATTAGAATTATTATACTATTTATCTGATTAGATGGCCAGTAGGTTGCTTGTAATTATAAAATACTTCAACCGCATTGCTCAAGAACTAGTATAAGCAACAATATGCAGGCGACGTATAGGCAACACTCATTGCGCAATAGCTTGATTTGGGTTGCATACGCTGTAGGACTGAGAGCACATGAATGGTTTCTATGGAATTGTGTTACAGTTGCAATGGAGGTACATATCGAGGAATGGAACTAAGCTAAGTACATATATTATATACAAAAAATTAAAATCGTGAGAAGTTCTCATTTTGAGATATTTTCAACTTGAAACTATACCTGAATGAACTATATTGAAGTCATGTATGTGGAAGTCATATTGGTTTGAAAAATGCATAATCATCCATTTCTATACGCTCCATTGAGAATGTTATTAACGAAGAAGTTTTTTGGCTATATAGAAAGCTGGAAGCCCGATTTGAGGTGAAGATAAATCCAAAACAAATTCCGCTTCTACTGCAATAATGTCACCAACCAAAATGAAGGAGATGGACTATACTGATTCATAGCTTTTACTCCACTAATCTTCATTCAACAGGGTGAATTTTCACGTCCACTTCAGGAATATATCTCCAAATACTCCCTGAAGACTTGAAATTGTACACCTAGGTTGCTACCAATCACCAATAATTTCAAGAATGGTTGCTCTTCATTGTTTTCAAACAATGAAAAATCGAGAATATTTGAAAAAACCTGCAAGGATTGCGATAGAAAGTATGTTGGTCAAACTAAACGAGCTTTTGAGATTAGTTTCAAATAACACACTGCACATACATCAATATTGTTTGAAATTTTTGGGACTGATAATGTTTGACGAATGGAAACTACCAACTGTGACAAACATCTCTTATTATTTATTATATGAATTATTGTGATGAAGTCAGGATAAACTTTCACGAGTAATTTTTCGTTTATTTCTACTCAAAAATCATTGATGTATGTCAAGATATAAGTAGGTGGAGTATGATTTGGATATTAGTATAGTATTTATTGCCTCATGACACCAACTTTGTTGATGAAATTCGTTGGGAACGGTGTTGTTTTTCTTGAGTGTAGGAGCAGTTTTTATCCTAGATGTTTCAGTTATACCTCACAGTAACAACATTAGAAGTCATCATTTTTGAACGTATTCGAACTGATGCTGATTTTCTTAGCCAGAAAGAAGAGAAGTGTAGCTATGGCTAACTTAGTGGCTAAATTCAACATCCCTTGACATGGATAAATTTAGTAATACAAATTGGTCCCAGTATATACAAACCGTTATAGTTATTTATGTATCAAGGGAATTAGGAGGGCCTTAATTACCGATGGCAAAGTTTGCGTCCCGAGGGCCTCTGGCCCGAGGGACAGCAATTGCCTGAGGTTATTAAGGCTCATTAATTCCCGTGGTACAGAGATAATTTTATTTCTGACCGATTTCAATAAAATTTTGTTCATTTTTGAAACGGAAAAATGTACCAATTCATTACCTTCCCGGTATACCAAGGGAGTTATGACCCTCTTTATTGATAGCGTAACTATGACGATATAAGCTTATAATATCCCGGTCAGAAATAAATAGTATTAATTAACTTATCAGCACAAAAGGGGATTTTTCCAGAAAAACTCAAATACGCAAATGGGTTTCCAATATAAAAAAAAGGAGACCCGAGTGATCTGAGTAACTATAGATCAATAATCATTATTTCTAGTATTTCAAAACTATTTGAGCTGAATATGAAAAACCAGCCGTGTCCTTTCTTCGACAAATACAATCTGGTTTCGCCATCGCAGGTTTCATTAAAAAGAAAAGCACATAATCTGCTCTCTGTGAATTTCAGAGCCATGTAATGAAACATCTGGACAAAAACAAATTTGTGATGGGCCTATTTCTTAAATTCTCACGCGCTTTCGACTGCGTCGATCATAAACTACTGATTTCTAAGTTATTGAGATATGGTGTCAGGGGAGTACCCCTGCACCTTCTAGAATCTTTTCTTAGCAATCGAAAGCAAGTTGTGAAACTTAATCAGTCCTACTCTGATACCTTACACATCCTCAAGGAGTTCCGCAAGGCTCGGTCCTGGGACCATTTCTCTATGTAGTTTATGCAAATGACCTCATAAGATAAGACTAATACTATGGTAATTACTCTGTGTGGGCACAATTTAAACTGCAGACTTTTTGATGATACCCCCAGTGAATGCTGAGTATAACTTTTAACGCAAACTCAATAACGACCCCACATATTGACAATCTATGCATAAAACTGAGAAAATCGTGCTACTCTTTGAGGTTTATGGCAAATCATTGTTGTGAAGAGATGCTGTTGATCCTGTATCATGCTAATTTCCACTTCCACCTGAAATATGGCATTTTGAACTGTGGAAATTGTTCCTCTGTAAATAGAGTGTTTATAGAAATATGCCATTCGAATATTGGCAAAACTAGGTTGTAGAAACTCGTACAGATTTTTTTTTTAATTAAACCTTTTAAAGCTGGCAGGGAGCTATATCCTAGAAGCCTGTGTGCACGTTTTTAAACAAAGATTTAGTAATATGGGAACGTTTACATAACTATAACACTAGAGGAAAACAGTTGCTACTACCAGTACGCCATCGTACTGCCCTCTTTCACAAAAGTTATGAAGTGAATGGGTGCAACTTATATTAATATTTTACCCGAGACTGTGAAAAACTGTAAAAACATATATGTGCTTGAAAAAATGACAAAACAATTCATATAACAAAAAAATTGTTACACTTTTGAAGAATTCCTCAACTAGAACTTGAAGTTTTTTCAATCTGTGTGATTGTTTATAAATAATTCATTTATTACTTATTGCATATATACAACTATATAGAATATACACACATCGGAAAAGTCTAGGGATATTTTTATAACATACTAAATATCATAAAAATAAATGCATGAGGTCGTTTAATTTCGATTAAATTGGTACACTCGACCACCCTGTAGATTTCTATGGGTTGAACAAAGCCTGCAAAAACGGTAACTGATCTTTTATCAAGTTTTTTACAAACTGTAGGTTTTCGGCTAAAATGAATAATCTGAATGTGTCGAGTTTGTACATTCTATGCAGTTCTTGCTCAGCAAATAAACTGGAAATATTGTGCTTCAACATGGAACGCCATCACTTACCATTGGCTGAGATGAATAGAGCTGTAGGGCTTCTTTAAGGTGGCATGCGACAAAATGATGTAGCTCTTCGTTTGGGGGTCTCCCAAAGTTTATCAGTCGATTGTGGCGGCGTTTCCGTGAAACTGGCAGTCCAGCCGAACAACATCCAGGGCGAGGACGCGCTACAACTGCAGTTCAAGACCGATTTTTGGTCTTAACCGCAAGAAGACAACCGACAATCACAGCACCTGAGTTGGTTAACGTGTTGCAGCAGACGCACCAGGTAACCATTGGTCGTGACACTGTCAGAAATCGACTGCATGAAGCAGATCTCCACAACAGAAGGCCACTTAGATGTCCACCTTCGTCGAGAGGCAATCGCGGTAGAAGATTAGAGTGGTGTCAAGAACATCAAAACTGGGATGCAAATGATTGGGCCACAGTTTTGTTTACAGACGAATCCAGATTTGGATTTCATCCAGATTCTCGTCGAGTAAGACTGTGGAGACGACCTGGAAATAATGAACGTTTGAGACACGTCCAGGAAGTCCACACATACAGAGCTGGTACAGTAATGCTATGGGGCGGAATCATGATCGGCGGCAGAACCGATCTCGTTTTTCCAAATCGCTCCCTCACAGCTCGACAGTACCTCGACACCATTCTTCCACCTATCGTCCGTCAGTTTGCTGGTGCTGTTGGTGAAAACTTCCACCTAATGCACGATAATGCTCGTCCACATGTCGCGCGTCTAGTGACTGACTGGCTCACCAACGAAGGAGTTGATGTATTGCTATGGCCAGCACAATCACCGGACCTGAATCCCATCGAGCATGTGTGGGACATGCTTCAACGAAGGATTACTCCGCATATGGGGAACATTCACACAACGTTTCAATTGAGAGAGCTTTTAATCGCTGAATGGGCAAATGTACCTCAACAAGACATTGACAATCTCATTTTGTCGATGCACGATAGATGTAGGGCCGTAATAAACCAGCGTGGAGGCCATACTTTGTACTGATTCCAATTTTTTTTGTATTATGATTTTTTTTCGGGGTGCCAAAGAAGAGCCATATTTTTTTTTAGTTTTGCTTATATGCGCACTCAGTATTTTTGACCATTAATTGAATTTTGTTGTAAGTTACATTCGTTTAATAATCACCCGTCAACTTTTCTTTCCCTAAAGCGATCTAAAAAAAAATTATTGCCATTTTTAAAAATATCCCTAGACTTTTCCGATGTGTGTATTATGTAATGCGCCCATTCATGTCTTTCACAATAATTTTTTCATAGTGTACATTTAACCCATTTGTATCAATGTGTACTACCTTATTGAATGAAATAAACTGGTATTATTATTATTTTAGTGTACTTACATTGATGCCGATCTGTGCTCTCTAACTCCTTCCTTATTTGCTGACCCCCTCGACGATGAACCAGTTCTATCCTGTGAAATCCTTGCCCTCATGGATTGATTGACTCTCATTTGTCTAGGTTGCAATGGTGGTGGTGCTTCATTGATCTGACTTTCAGCAATGGATGCTCTATGCGCCCGATGAGTCTCAGTTGGAAACGGAGCAGGCTGCTTTTTTATTTCCTCCCGGTTATGTGGTCGTAAAGGTTCGGGCCGGTACTGATCCGAAACTCCATTGGCGACGCTCCCATTCAGAATGAGCTTCTGGGCCGTGGGGTATCTGGTGCTGGATCTCTCCTGGTATCCCCTTTGATTCGGAAAACCTAAGACTTGTTCAGGTTTACTAGGTTTTTCGGCTTGGACTGAGGAGTTATACGGTTTGCTGCTGACTTGGTGGAATATTTGTTCCCCTGATTTTGTTTTGATTGAAGACCTAACGCTGTATTGCCTGAGATCACCTTCAGGTAGACCTAAACACAAAAAACAATGGTGAGAGAAGCTAACAGACTTGGAAAAGTTGAATTTTGTATTGCTTTGAATGAGGTCTTAGGAAAACAATTGTTTTTATGATAGTAAGGCGTAACCAGTAACCATGGTCTTTTTAGGAGGGCTTTTGCCTTTGGCCTGTCCTGAACGTCTTCTGTTGTCGTAGAGGATCCACTTGTCCTCACAAGTGACAATCGGATCCAAAAAAGGATCGTTTTGGTTGCGCAAAAGCAAAGAAGAGCAGACCTCGAAACATGACAGTTTCTGTCGATCGTTCAAATTGTGAGTTTTTTGACCTTTTTAATACATTTTGAACTATCAAAAACTGCATGTTATTCTTCTTCGACAGTTCCGATGACTAGATGTTGCAGGTTGTTTCTATCTACGATCTTCGCATACTCTTTATAATTCCCGTATTAGTAACAAGTGACAATCCGATCCAAACAATGATCCTTTTGATTTGTGCAATAGCAAAGAAGATCATGACAGTTTCTGTCGTTCGTCTCTACCAGGGTTCTCAAATCCTAGTCCTAGATTACTGTAGGGCTCATTTTTCAGGCTAGTATCTCAACATCGAACAGTAAAATAATAATAATACTAATGTTTATTTATAATTTTCAATACACGTTGGTATATAAGTTAGTTGTACTGAAAGCTAGTAAAAATATAAAGAGAAGGAGAGCAGTACAGATTTACATCTATTTTACATATATTCATATATAAGCTCACAACTTAAGTGAACATTTCACATCATGTACTAAATAAAATAACGACCACTGTAATTTTGATTGTTTGTGAGATTGTCAATCAAAAAACCTTGGTAACTGTAATATATTCTTTCTAAAAGAATGTTTTTAATACAATCATGAAATACTTTGTTACTTGTGATTTTTTGAACTACATTTGGTAGCTTATTGAAGCACGTATAGTGGCATTATACTGAGGGGATTTTTTAATAGTGTGTCATTTGATGATATGGGATTTTTAGAGGATCACCATTTCTTGTATTATGTGTGTTCATCATCAGTATCATTGCCAAATGTCTGGTCGATTTTTCTTGCTGTTTCAGCAGCGCTTTGGTTCAATTTAACAACATCATATAGTAATAAGATATGGACCTTATAAAATCAATTATGATTGGAATCCATATGGAGATGAATGTAAAATACTCTATTCACGAAAAATAAATCATTTCCCTAATTGTTGACTAGCATCTTTTCGAATTTTTGAAAATAGCTTCAATTTCAGAGATCAATCGCTTCTTGATGTTTAAAAAGTGCTGTGCGATACTGAAAGCTCATAACTAAGTATTTGTTTACTTTTCAAAAAAAAACAATAAAGAAAACATACTTCAAATGTGTTATAAAAATGATAAAATAATTTATAAATCACTAATCAATTGGCGAACCATCACCAAAAATCAAGAGTTTCATGAAAAGACCCAATAATGAATCATAAACTGTTATTTTGAAGTGGAAAAATCACATCTTCTGTTTATTGCGGTGTTATTTTCTTGGTGAACGTTTTCGGACATTCTCAAGAATGTTCTGTACCCACCAGAATACGTGCGATCGTTAAATCTAGCACATACGCTCGATTTCAAATTTTTTTGAGCATACCTAACATTTCTGTATGTTGATTTGTTTATCCGTAAACCATGGGTTTTGGTATGCTTACTCTCCTTCAGTTCATACAATTCTGCCCATCGATTTAAGTTACTTCGATCCGGGTAATTCACATGCTTTATTCTGCCGTGTACGATGGCTTGCTTCTTGGTCCTGCTGCTGGATGAACGAGAAACATCTGAAAGACTAACCTCTGTTGGATACCCAGCGTGGTATTTGCCAGGTTAGTAGTACCTACGGTGGGAGAGATGCATGTTTCCAGATTTCATTTCGAAATATTTATTTTCCTAAAGATATGAACTTGTCCTCGATAAAGTCTTCTTTGATTTTTGGAATCAGTTGAATGCGATTGACTAAGTCATTAACTTTCGTGGACACCACCGGATTTTTCTTTTGGGTTGGTGCAACTACACAGTATCTTTTCGTTTGAACTCCGTCCCAGTATTCGTGGTTTTCCTGCCAACTAGTTGTGCTTTCTTCGGCTGGTTTTCTTTTCAATTTGAGCTTTGATAAAGAGAAGGTTTTTGTCTCATGAACTGTGATCTTATATGACGGGAGAAATATCTGCAACAGTTTGTTTCGCAGCCTCCAAACTTTTCCGAATCGAACGTAGACATGTACTGACTAATCATTTTGTTATGCAGTTCTACCATTTCATCTAATCTATCTGACAATTTTCCATATTTGCATTGATTCTTCTTGACCCAAAATCCAATCTGTGAATAAAAAGGCACCCCATGTCTCTCAACTACATCTATCCTACCAATCTCTGGATTTAAAATACAACAAATATCAGGCCGTTTGCAGCAAAAGTTTACCACTGCTATCAAGTATTTGTTGCTGTTGTCAGTTACCAAAAAGGTCTCCAAGTTGAGCGGCGTTTCTTCTAAGCGCAAAGATCACATTGTTTCAATCATTAATCTACGCCACCATGACAGAAAATCAATTAGTACACTTCCTTTGTCTCGTCTGGGCTCTCCTGCATACGATGTAATAAATCAAAGGATAGGCTTAGGAAATACCATTGACCTCAGTAACCTTCAACACCTGCACCATAATTGTTACTAATCAGATCGAGCTCTGTTGTTGAGTCAGATTCGAATTAATTTCAGATTAACATCTTTTTACTACCTTTTTTCTGATCTTTCCATAGCATCTTATCCTCATCTATCTCAGAATGTATATTCCTTGCTATTTATTTCACAATTGAAGACTTCTTTTTTCTCTGAGATGCCGAGGCTTGGGGACTGTCCACTTAGATTTTCCAATTAGATTTTCGATACTTACCCCAGCACCTCACCTCATAGGGCTCATTACTGCGGTTGCCTTTTCCCTTTCCTTGGCGTTGGCTACTGCCTTAAATTTATGGTTGATATACTGCTCATGTTGACTGCCTATCGAAAATTTTATAGCTCAGAATTCATCTGGCTACGTCTTTGCTGCCGATGAGTATAACCTGCTGAAGAGGAGCCGACTAGAACTGTACGCGTGCTCAAAGTAATTTATCTATACACCCAATTTTTTTATCGTTTCTGTGACCTGTTCTTCTTCTACACCTCTTACGTTGCCGCTGAATATCTACATTCTACAACATCAGATTTTTTTTGTCTTCATCTTCAACCTCATATAATTTACTTTGCCATTATAGTGCTGTTTCTGCTATTTCATTTGCAAATTTGACTGAAAAGTTGTTCATTACCTGAATTAACCTGAATCAACTGTTTCTCTTGGTCTTGTTTTTTTGTTGGTTCAATAGCTCACCCTTTTAGTTTTTCTCTTCTTTATAGTTTTTCAATTATTTATTGGAGTAGCCACATTTTTGTTTATAATCTTGGTTTTCTTCTTTTTTCAGCTTGTTCATTTTCTTTTAGTTCAACTTTGATTTCAAAAACACAAGAAAATATATTATTCTTGCTATGTTGTAGTTGTAATTAGCTCTTCTATTTATGACACAATAGAAATGCTTTTGTTTTCAAAATTCCTTTGAACGCATCACTTCATTTCGTTTTTTTACAATTTTGTCAATTATTTCAGCCATGCAATACTGAAATCCCTTTGAAAAACGAATTTCTCTGTTCAATATCTCCCTCTATGTACTCCAAATTTGTATCAGCTCGTTCTTGTTGCATCAAATCCCGAAAAATTCTTCAATGAGGAAGACAGATATTCAATAACACTAACGATGATAATGACGATGATAATAACATTGAATATAATAACATGAATGATTCTAAAATAAATAAAATAGTCAAATATATACTAAATAATAACATTTCGAGGAGTAAAAGTTGAATTTAAATTGACTAAAAAATTCAAAGAGCAATATTGAAATCCGGAAACGGAAAAATACATATAGCTATTTGGATATACAGAATTAATATCAAAATAAAATTGATAAACATTTTCATAGAAATTATTAAACATAATACTCAGCGGTGATATTGTTTTACAATTATATATTTATAATAAACTGAAAGTTTATTTTTTGTAGTTCAATAATTAACTATTGTATTCAGTTCAAGCTTTTCTAACAAGAGCTTGCAATGCCTGGAAAGTACATTTTGGCATAGATTCATATTCATTATGATTTTTACATTCAACAGTGAATACATTACAAAGTCTAAACATATTGAGGTATTGAGAACAAGAATATCTCATTTATTAGCACCTATTTAGAAATACAAACCATGATCAATTAGAATACAAAAGATTATATATGTTTCATCATTGCATTCAGAAATATGTCTTAGCTCAGTTTGAGGTAGAGAAAAAATTATACTCTTTGTTAACTCAAAATTTTGACAAATAAGTCCAATAAAATATGTTTTATGATTAAATTATAGAAAACCTACTTACTAACTTCAAAAGAAGAAATTGGGACACGTTTAGCAGGGGAGCCCGCGATGCAAAATGGGGATATACTTGAGCGTCATTGAGACATATTAGGTTGCGAAGCTTAGATGATAACAAGAAAAAAATGTTATATAATATACACCTTTTCATCGGTGGGGGAAGCGGCTATAGATTTTTAAATATGTAAAAAAACTGTTGCATGGACATACTCGAGCACGTCAGATATTGATAGCATCAATGTCCTACGTATTTTTAATAATGTTGGTATGTAAATCTGATCGTTTGCATGATATGGGTGGTTGTACGTAAGGGTTAAAAGTGAAAAGAAAAAAAAATTAATCGAGCGCGTCAGATTTTTTAAGGAGGTGTTGAGTGCAACAAAAAAAGCTCTCATTGAATCGATCTGACGCAAACTCGCGGACATTATTATAATGTGCAAAAAAATTCGCCATTTTGAAATACTCAAGCGCATCAGATTAAGATATATATGGTTCATCTTTATGTTTTAGACGTGCTGTCTCATAATCTGACGATTATCTAGAGGGATTCCCTTAATCTGACAAAAACAATATTTTTGAACTTAATTAATTGAAAAGCTCAGAAAATAGCATGCGAATAAATAAGTGTAAGTTTTTTAAATAGAATGCTTGTATTTATAAGAAAATAATAAAAAAAAAATTATTATCAATTGATTAATTAATGAAGAAAAGAGGAATGAAACTTTCTATGTTTTTTACCACTTTCATTTGTAACCAAACTTATATATTGTATAAGTTTGAAAATGCCCTTATAGGACGAAACTGTAGTAACGTTAATTACAAATGAAAGTTTAATTTCTCTATTCTTCATTATGATTTCTTACTACGTAGTAACGGCTACATCCATCAATTAATTGATTAATTAATCATCATCTTCATCACGAACGAGTCTCTATGATCAGCTGTGATGGCGTCATGGCAACAGAATTCAGAGTGGGGACGGAGTGATAAAGTAATAGATAGAGAAAAAGTGAATAGAGAATAGAGAATTTCTGATGATCAATTGTTTTTTTACTAATCTGATCCTTTATTCCTCACAGGCGTCTTTATATATGGGGCTCATATTTGGTGGAGGTACTCAACCGTGTACAAGGTATCTCCCTGTATATTAATCTGCCGCGCTTTAGTAAATCACGAAATCCCCGCTTGGGCTCCCGTAATATTAGGAGCAAAAATTGTTTACCCAAATTTCGCAAACATAGAGAAATGTTCCACGTTCTCTAACACACATAAGCTGCACAATCTTGTTCAACGCATTTTTTGCTCTTAATTTTTTTTAGTCAAGTATGTTTTTTAGTCAAGTATGTTGAAGCAGTATATTTTATATAATGTTCGCCTTTTAAAGTGAAAAATATTCTCTATCACAAACTGTGATTGTTCATTGGGAATTCTAATACTATATTGAGTAAAAGCAATAGTCAAACCTTTCGCATAAAGGTATGAATGTTAGAGTTTGATAAACCTAACAAGACACTTTCCAAAAAAGTGTCATCTAATAAGATCATTCGAAAATAACATAGCGGAATCAATTGACAGATACATTCTCACGAGAAATATATCTCATCAAAGGTACATTTGAAGTCAGAACCTCTGGTTCGAGAGCCGGGCATAATAGCACTGCTTTGATCAATCGCCAATCAAATCGAAACTCTATTAATTTTTCGGGAGGCCTAAGATATCTAACAATTACCTACCTACAGTTTGTTGAATCACCTTCGACTCTTTCTTGGTCCGCTGAACTTGCGGAGCGGGTACTTGGTGGCTAGTACTACTCCCTTTCAACCTGTCGTTGAACTCCTCCCGAAAACCAGCTTCACATTCTGGCGGTGGCGGAGGCAGCGGGTCGTCGTTAGCAATAACCTCGTCTTCCACAACGGTAGGTGGAGAGGGAGGCGGCAAGTCCGGGCTAGGTACTCTCTGGTTCTGGAAGAGATCCGGAAACGCGGTTCGCAAATGTGGGTTCTTGGGAGGTCTAGCTGGAGGATTATCCGGCACCCAATCGTCCACGGATATCGCCGGACCTACTATCATTGGCCCCAACATCTCCGTGGACAAACTCCCGCAGGAGTTGCTATGCTGATGTCGCGGAACCGTCTTGCTGAAACCCTCCGTTGGTTTCGATTCCAAACTGGAGGCGAAGCTGCTTCTCTTCGAGTTGTTGCCTGAAGCGTAGTCCGACGCAGACGAAGCGCGTCGTGACGGCATTTGTACTTTCACTTTTGGAGGGGGAGGAGGTACACTCAGGGGTGCTTGGGCAAGTTGAGGCTCGGATCTCCAGGCGCTTTTGTTGTTCGAGTTGTGTCTTTCGTAGAAGGAGAGGAGGGCTTTTTTCTGGATGGCTTTCAGTGTTGGATCGGGTACTTTGTGTTTCTTTTCCGGGTCCAGGTAGGAGTATTTCTGTTGTTTTTCCAACTCGCTTATCCGGTCTGCTACGGAGAGAGCGGATTGTAGTGACAAGGACAACCTGCAAAATAATTGACTGTTTAATGACATCTGGAAAAAATCAGAAATATATTCAGGATGTTTGGAAAATCAACCCAAAGAAAATTTCAGCAAGAAGTGAAATACTAATAATTTTTGAGATAGTAAGTTTCATGAATATTTTGATGATGAATCATTATTATATTATAAATTATCATTAATTTTATTAGAGGAAATCAGTTATTATGGGAGAACCCAGAATAATCATTTTGTTGATCAAAATCAATAATAAAACCGGTTCGTGAGTGATTCAGAAAAAACTGGTATAGTACCCATCTGAAAGATATTTCCTTTTTTTCTCGAATTAACCATAGTTTTTCGTGATGAGAAGCTTCTTATCAGATTGAAAAAATGCTTCAATAAATTATACTTTGAATTTTCCACACTTAGAATATTGGTTGAGACTTTTTACTGTTTTTTTAATTATGCTGGTACAACTTTTTATTTGAATGGCTCATCAACTAATTTACTAATACGTGTATTTTCCGATTTCACACATCTATAGTTTCCCAGCAAATTTCGGATTATTTCAATTATCAAAGTTACTACAGAGGTCAATTGCGGGAGGTGATTTTTTCGATTGATTCTATAATTGATCATTATTTTATCAAGAAAAATGACTTCAGAACGTACACTTTTTCTAGTTCTGACTTGAAGCCCCAAAAAAATTATGCAAATTCTTTGATCCATTCACCTCGTATATCAATGAATTAAATAAAAAGAACGGTTCACCCCATAATACTTTTCCCATTTAAAGTCAATATCGTGAGCAAAAAATTCATATATATATATAATTCGCAACCGGTAAATTTCCACTTCTTGTTTCTTTGGATTTTTTGGTTTGAAACTTTTGTTGCCAGAGTCAAGTGAATTAACTAATGGGTGATTTTTTAGAAGAAATAGGATTTGATTTTCAAAACAATACAGGACATTAAAAAAAAAATGATGAAATCTTCATTGGAATCGGTAGAACGATCAATATAATTTAATGTTTGAAGATGATTTCATGCAAATGCTCCGCTTTAGGTGGCCCATGCGCAAGGTCCAATTTTGGCACACTCTCTCTAACATATCGACCGATATTTCACGTATAAAGGCTTCAATATTCGCTTCCAGAGCGTCAGTCGTTGCTGGATTATGTGGTTTAATGTCCAATAATGTAAACTGGGTTTGAAATATAGTCACTAGCTTCCGAATAGCTCCCTCAGTAGACCGACGAAACTGGCCATAAATTGGAAGAAGTGCACGATGCACTTTCTTCAAATTCAATAATTTGCAAGCGTTGTTCATTCGTAAGTCGATTCATGGTTAAATTATAGACCAAACTGAACAAGTTTGACAATGATACAAGACACGATTCACGCGTGATCTGTGAAAAATAGTGTTGCCAAAAATATACCAGCAAAAAAATCACTCAGTAGCTGCCTAATTTCACAACTGATCAGTAATCTAATGAATTTAAACTATTCATTTCATTTCATAGTCATGTTCCATTCTTCCATTTACATGTTTAACAAGTTTTAATGAAAGAGACCGATACTTTTGAAAGTTTGGAATCCTATGATGAGAAAACCAAATCAGAAGATTTACGAAAGCTGGTTTTTAAACATTAAAAACTGGAATGGAAATTCTTCATATGATTTAAAATGGAAATGAGAAATGAAATTGAATAACTTTATGTTGTGATCAACCTAATTCAGCTGACTGTTGATATTGAAAATTGATTACATACTAGTTATTAAAAGATAACTAATCCTATCATGCTGGATCATAGCCTTGATTATATTTTATAATGATCATGGTGAATTTCGTCTCATTCGGTCGCCTTTAAATTGAAAAATATCCATTAACTACCAATCAGAGGACTACCAACACGTTATTACGAAAATTCATCGATAATCGATGTTGAAAATTGGAGTATAATCAGTGTAATTCTGAATTGAACACTCGCAATATAATTTTTATGAAGAGTTTTCAGAAATATACCGAATTGACGATTTCAACAGGAATGATAAAACCAGAATAGAGTAGAAGTAAAATTATTGTTGGACTATTTGTAAAGAAATGCATAGGTGCATATTCTGTAGGTATTGTAGCAATATTTATATACTAGTTGATATCCGCGTCTTCGCCCTCGTAGAATTTGGTTTTGAACTAATAATTACATTTCTTTAATGACCTAAAACTTCAGGTTTCGACTGCAAAACTGAGGAAATTCAATACATTCTTAACTAACCATCAAGAACAGTTTTCTCTTAACGTGTGGCTCGGAGTTATTAGGGATGATTTAATTGGGCCTCATTTTCTACCTCCTCGATTAAATGGTGAGGCGTACGTTCAATTTTTAAGAGAACTGCATCCAGTACTGCTGGAGGAAGTTCCTTTGGGCGTCAGAAGGGATATGTTTTTATGCATGATAGGGCTCCGGCCCATTTTAGTCAAGTAGCACGTCAGCATTTAACTGAAACGTATGCAAATCAGCGGATAGATCAAGGAAGACCACAGAACTGGCCCGCTCGATCCCCGGATCTCAATCCTCTCGATTTCTCTATTTGGGGCCATTTACAGCATTTGGTTTATCGTACTCCTGTTCGCGATGTAGAGGACTTAAGAAACCGCATCATCGATGCGTGCAGGGTAATCAGAGAGACTCCAGGAATATTTGAGCGAATATGTGGCTCAATGCGCCGATGTCTAGACGCATGCGTAATGTCTGAAGGTAGACATATTACTATGATTTCTACATGTTGTGTGTTTTGTTATTAATAAATTAGTTTTGTTTATTACCCTTTAATCGTTCAATGCAGGTACTAACTACAAAATAACAATGAATTCAGTTCGCATTTATGACGATGTATCTCTGTAGTTGTTCGTAAAATAATATTTTGCTGCGAACTGGTTTATTTTGGGCAACAAACCCAAGAGACATTTTTTGTTCAGAATGAAACAGGCTATCGGAAATAAATTTTTAAATGGTAAACAAATAATAAGACACAAAGTTACATTGGAAATACATTTTAGGGGTTGCGTTTTCCACCCCTTACAACCATGGGGTAAACCAAATAAGTTTCTGGCTAAGTGTATTTTTGGTAGTAGAAAACGACAGGTTAATTTCAATATTGTAACTTTTTTAGTGCTTGTGAAAAAAATTGTTATACAACTTTTATGTACACCCTTTGAGGGGCTGTATTTCAACAAAGGATGCTCCAATGAAGTTCCTTTATATGAAAGATCCTATCTTTTTTTCGATGAGGAATCACCTTCTCAAATGTTTTACACTTAGTCAGTTACGCCCTGCATATAAGGTAACCCATCAATATGATTTAGTAGACGAATTACCTTTAGCGTCAAAATATGCCTTAGTTTCGATGATAACTTCTTCATTAGGTCTATATTTCTTTCCAGCGGGTATTCTCTTTAAGAAGAAATCGCTGGGGGCCAGATCTAGAGGATACGTTAGATACAAAAACAATTCGAAGTCCACTTCATACCTGAATACTCTAAATATCAAAATATTTCAATAACTGGTCTGAAAAGGTGTATTTGCACTCAATACGTAAGATACTTTGTATCTTTGACGATCTCTAGCCAATATAATTATTCGGTATATAACTGAAACCACCGGAATCTAGCCAAATTTTTTAACTGGGTATGCATGTCACCGATGGAATGCAACGCCGATGTACCATGAAGTAATAAAAATATTAAGCATCAATAATCAATCCCATTGTTACACAAATAACGATAGCATTGCCCGAAGTCAGTGGTAACCTTGGAAATCGCATTTTTTATTGTTCAAGATCCATGAATGATGAATGCGGGAAAGGAAAATCTATCGGAGCGTTGAAAAGATTAATAACCTTATAACAGAGAATGATTAGTATTTCAATTATATATTACGATATTCCGCATTCTCCAGTTTTGTTCAATAGAACAATTCCCTTTTCATGAAATATTATAAATTACCGCGCACATTGTGATTTACTCGTAATTTGCATGTTTAAATTAATATATGATCAGTTCAAACGCAATTACTGCATTATCGGTTGAATTATGAAAATTGTAAATTGTTTGTGAAAGATACTCGATGAATAATGAAGTATATCGTTCAATTAACTCCGTAGAATATAAATTAATGGCAGTACAGAACCTTTGCTACACCAGCAATATTTCCGGTAGATTCTAGTCAGTTCAACATCATCGAATAGGTTTGTTCGCAATATGATGAAATGAATAAATGTAATAGTCAGATCAAGCCGAAAAATCAAGCCTCAACACCAGTGTAGCGATTACCTGGAGAGTCTGGTGGCGGTGGAGCGTATTTGAAACTTCTAATTTTCCATGACACATCGTTCTCTATGGTCGTTTATCATCAGTTCTTGAGACAGTTGATTTTGTATAGGTGAAGGACCAAGTCACGACGCAAAATTCGCCAAATTGTGATCTGCGAAAGGCCGAGTTCTTGTGAGCGACGCGAAATCGACTGTCTCGGAATCTCTTGCACACTCTCACAGACAACGGCGATGTTTTCGGCAGATCTTGCATTTACTGAATCAGTGTGCACGAATTTATCCTCTGGGTAGGACAATTATGGCAACCAAAAGTTTAATTTTTAACCATCATACATTTTACTGTTATATCTTCAATAAATTTGCAAAAAATCGGATTGACAAGGAATCTATGCCTATAATGGCCTATATGGACAATGTCTATAGTTGAATTATAGTAGGAAATGGATTATGTTGACTTTGATCCGACTCAATCTGATGATGGGAGTCGAAATTTCGCCTAGTTATCTGAACTATTGGTATGACGATGATTATGTCTTAGTGAGAAGGAACTTCTTTATAATAATTCATAAATGGGAGTTTCTTTACTGTTAACACATTTTTCAAATCAAATTGTGAATTATAACCTAGTGTGCGCATTGTGAAGATCCGGCACAGAAGATTCAATAATTGAACTTCATTCAATAGATGGACTAAAAACTTCGAAGGCCCACACACAGATGGCGTTACTATTATAAAAACCATACTATTTTTAGTTAACCCCAACTTTCAAAAGGCACGTGTACAAATTTCACAGCTGACGGACTATTAGTTTGTGGGTTAGAATATTTTGAGTGAAGCAACTTTTGTTAGTTGGAAGAAAATGGATGAAAAGTAATTTCGTGTTTTGGTGAAACATTGCTTTTTTGGCGAAAAAAAAACTGTTGATGAATGATGAGCAGCGACTCTTTTCTGATCCCAGACGCCAAAAGAATGCTCGCTGAAAAAGAATTCAGCACCAAACTGATGACTGAAGATGGGGAGCGCCGTCTTTGGTGTAGCCAAGTCTACTGCTTCTGCAGTATATCCCCTGCTTTGGCATTCGAGCTACTGTTCTACTGTTTGACAGTTGAAACCTACTGAAGTCTTAGTTTACTTTTTATAATAATTATGCAATGACCGTAAGTAGTGGAAATTACCATGTATGTGGTATGATTCTGCGAAATATATTTTCTACTATTTTTATAAAACAAAATCTATTGCTGAGCTTGAAAAAGACTTGGCAATACTGGTCATTACATTGAAGCTCGTGCCTCACAAAGACAATACAAAACATTATATTGACTAGGTGTTAACAACTTGACACAACATTCATAGATTCCTATTCATAGATCACCAGGCACATTTGCATCTGTTGGGTGAAATAGAGAAGCCTCCTCACGCTGGCCAATCAGATTCAACTGCCATCGGCTGCCGGAATTCATTGTTACAGTGTCTGAGTAGTCAGTTACGTTTCAACGCCTGTGGTGTATATATTTGTGGTATTCTAAAGTGTAAAATTTTTTAAATGTCAAGTATTGATACGGCTGAAGAGACTGCTATTTTGTGTCTCTACACCCCACTAAAAATTTTTCCTACACCCAGCCGGTCGTTCCTTAGTGCGATTCTGTACAAGCAGCCTTGTCTGGGAGGATCATGTGCACTAAGCATGATAGTGTTTTGGAGCACTCCGTTGCTTGATTAGACAGAATGTAGTACTGATTATTCAAGTTCCTTCAATCGTTATGGCAGCTCTGATATACGATAGGGTTGCCTTTTATGTTTCGGGATTTGGCAACCCTAGTGTCGCAATCTGGCAACTGACAGCTCTATAGTAAAGTTGGACATTTTTGAGCTTATACGTACACAGAATGTTTTGACATACGCACGCTATTTGTGTTGTTAACAGTAACGTAAAAGATTCATCTCGGCCCAAAAATGGAACATTTTCGTGCGATCATTTTAACAACTTTGGACGTGCATTAACTCAGCAACAGTGCATGGATGAACTTGACTGAATTTTTGGCGACGAAGCTCCATCAAGAATCAGTGTTTATCGATGGTATGGTGAATTCAATCGTGGTCGTGGTTCACTCCATCGTGAGATTGAGACAACCTTAGACATTAGTGGGACCAGCATACATTCGATATTGCATAAACATTTGACTGTCAAAAAAATTGTTTGCGTTGGATCCCACACAATTTCACAATCGCTCAAAAAAGGCTCGTGTCGATTGGTCGAAGGAAAGGCTCAAAAAATACGATCGCGGTGCTCCGAAACACATCTATGATATCGTGACAGGTGATGAATCGTGGATTTACGCGTATGAGCCGGAAAGTAAACAGCAGTCGACTGTATGGGTGTTTCACGATGAGCCAAATCCAACGAAAGTTGTTCACGCACAAGCAAATGGTCGCCTGTTTTTTCGAAAAAACTGGACATGTCGCAACTGTACCACTAGAACAACGCAGAACAGTCAAATTTAAGTGGTACACAACCATTTGTTTGCCAGTTGTCTTCCAAGAAATCAGGAAAACCAACCGCCAAAGACGGATCACTCTCCACCACGACAATGTGAGCTCTCACACATCGGCTCAAACAACTGCATTCTTGAGCACCTAAAACATCGATTTGATGAGTCATACTCCGTGTCGTACTGACTTGGCACCGAATGACTTATTTTCATTCCCGCACGTGAAAACCAAACTGAGAGGTCAACGTTTTTCGACACCTGAAGAAGCTTTGCTGCATTCAGAATGCATGTTTTGGAGATACCTCAATCAGAGTGGCAAAAGTGCTTTCACAACACAACAAAGTTTTTGTTTCGGGGTTGAAATTAGATGATTTTAATGTATTTCCACGTGTTAAAACCGAAAGTGACCATAAAAATTATATATTAGCTCTTGTTTTCAAGATATAGTATCATTATATTATATATATGTATATTGAGTTTTCAACAAACATGTTTGTTTACATAACACCCCTCTCATCAGCTGTTCTTAAGTAGTAAACATAACCTATGTGAGTTTGTCGCACGTTTGTTGTACGCACGTGGTTGCTATTGAAATTATCGTGTGAAGTTGATTTTTAAATTAATTTAAGTGCTGATCTGAAATGGCTCGAAAGTGTGTGAATTCTGTCGATAGCTTTTGCTATATATGTGGTGAAATAACATTTGAGACTCAGAAACGTAAAATGACACCTATCGTTAAGACAGCCTATGAACATTATTTTGGTGTGAAAGTTGGGGACCAAGATAAATCATGGGCTCCTCATATATGTTGTAATTCTTGTTCCGTCATATTGCGAGAGTGGCTGAAAAATAAAAACCGGGCAATGGCTTTTGCAGTACTTATGGTTTGGCGTGAGCCTACCAATCATACAGACGACTGTTATTTCTGCTTAACTCCTCCCATTAAGCAAGGTTTATCTATGAAGAAAAGAGGAACGGTTAAATACCCTAATCTCCCATCTGCTCTTCGGCCTGTACCACACTCAGACAATTTGCCAGTCCCTTCTCCACCCCAAAACTATGAAATTTTAGAGGAAGGTGATGAAGACTGTTTAGAAGGAGCAACCCATCCTTCTACATCCTATGACCCTGATTTTGAGGTAAGCGATAGGTCTAGTGATCCGCACAGAATTAGTCAAGCAGAGTTGAGTGACCTTATAAGAGATCTTCGCTTGTCTAAGGAAAAGGCTGAGCTGTTAGGGTCAAGACTACAACAGTGGAATCTTCCAAAACATGATGTGAAAATATCTCAGTACAGACAGCGTCAAAAAGATTTGCTTCCTTTTTTTGAGAAAAAAGATAACATCGTAGTTTGTTCTGATGTTAATGGTTTGATGGACTGCTTGAATTTGGATCACACTCCATCTGAATGGAGACTGTTTATAGACTCTTCAAAACTAAGCTTAAAAGCTGTACTTCTGCATAATGGAAATCAGCTACCCTCTATTCCTATATGTCATGCAGTTCACATGAAGGAAACGTATATAAATATGAAAACACTTCTCCAATCAATCAAATATGAACAACACAAGTGGCACATCTGTGGTGATCTGAAAGTCATTGCTATACTCCTAGGAATGTAATTAGGGTTCACCAAGTACTGTTGTTTTTTGTGTCTGTGGGACAGTCGGGATAGAAAATCTCACTATAAAAAAATGAACTGGCCTACACGAGACCTAAACCCTAATGAGAAAAATGTAGTTTACGAGCCTCTTGTAGATTGTAAGGATGTTCTTCTTCCCCCATTACATATTAAGTTGGGACTAATGAAAAACTTTGTGAAGGCCATGGACCAGGAAGGAAAAGCTTTTAAGTACTTGAGAGCAAAGTTTCCCAGGTTGAGTGATGCTAAAGTCAAGGAAGGCATCTTTATTGGGCCTCAAATCCGTGAAATCGTAAATGATCCTGCTTTTGACATGATTTTAACAGGAAATGAAAAAAGAGCCTGGGAAGCCTTTAAGGGGGTTGTACATGGGTTTTTAGGTAACAAAAGAGATGGTAACTTCACAGCATTGGTTAGAGAGCTTCTTCAAGCTTACCACCAACTTGGATGCAACATGTTCTTAAAAATTCATTTTCTTCACTCTCATCTTAATTTCTTCCCACAAAATTGTGAAGCTGTGAGTGACGAACATGGAGAAAGATTCCATCAAGACATTGCCTTAATGGAACAGAGATATCAGGGCCGTTGGAATGAAGCAATGCTTGCAGACTACTGCTGGTCTGTGTGTAGGGATGCTCCAGAAGTGTTTTATAAAAGACAAGCTAAACAACAGCGATCTTACAATGAATCGGATGGACTTAATTGAAATTTGGTGGTACAAACTTCTTTTATTTGTCAAAACACTAAGAATAATGTTTTTTTTTATTAATTTTGTACTTAAAATATTCTAAAAGAAACATAACAATATTGTTTTCTGTACTTTCACTTTTCACGTATAGTATAACTACTCTTTAAGATTAAGTACTGTGTATCTCAAAAACCAGAGCTAATAAAAATTTTTCATTGTTATTTTCGTTTTTATCACCCCAAAATTAGTAGAAATTGACTAATTTAGTGAAGGAAACATTCAAAAAATATTTTTTTGTTGTGTTGTGAATTGGTTCAAACGCATGCAAATGTCTATAGATCTTCATGGGGAATATTTTCGATGATTATTATTTGTTCTTGTTTTATAATCCCGAAATATAAAAGGCAACCTATCTGATATTTTAAAGGCTCTTCCAAATGTTGTAATTGGGAAAAACTAGCTAATAAGAGAAACTGATCAAAATTCTTTGAACTTTTTTGGTTTGGCAAACCGAATGGAAATTTTTGTGAACTGTAAAACTCTACCATTATAAGGAACATTTTTTTCTCCAGGACAAAACACAAGCACTACAGAAAAATCCTCAAGACTTTCTCAGAGAGGTGCCTATGCGAATGTAGCAATTCCCGTGGATTTGAATCGCTGGAGATGAAATTCATTTGAAAAAACCTTCTCAGGAAGTTTATTCTATATAAACGCAGTTCTTCAAATAAAAGAGTTCTCAAATAGTGAAGTTCTAGGTGTACTTGTTTTTGGTTCCAGTCAGAATCAAGCAGACATCAAAAATATTTTGCACCTACCTATTACTAGACGTGTTGCTGGTACCACTCGGTTGATTCTCACTTTCTTGTACCGTATAAGTGTTCAAAGGAAACAACTTGAGTTTATTCACATTATTGTTCCTGTGTTCCCTATCCTTCCAGTTGCCGCTTTCCTTCTCCCCGCCCATGTACAGGATGCTTTCGGACTGATGCCTCTGCGGAGTCTGAACACGGGCACTGTGCACTATGAGCTGTCTGGAAGAATTGCTCGAGTTGGCGAGATGCGAACTACTGAGCGAAGTCACGGAAACATCACTCATCGAACCGTGCCACTTGAGAGTTTCACTGGACGAAGCACTTCCAGAACTGGTGGTCACAACACTGTCTCTCCCCTCGCGTTGCAAACTGGGCTCCTCAGGGGTCAGTTCGTCCCACGTGGCCGAGGACATGGGTCTGCTTACGGCTGCTTCGCTGTCCCTCCGCAACCGATCTAGGAACGGGGTTGAAGTGGAGTCTGTGCTGGATACGTAGCTGTGATAGCCTTCGGATTGGGCGTAGGAAATTTGCTTCTGGTGGAGGTGAGTTAGCATACTTCCTTCGTGTTTGGAGTTCATCGAACTGTACAGGGAATCTTCGTAGTTTCGGGTGTATTCCATGAACTCCTCCAAGCCTGGAACATATGATTGATCAGTTTGTCATGGATCAAAAGTAGGATAACTCTGTTTGGACTAACTGCGATTTTGAAATGATTTGAACCCAGTATTTATTCAATTTTGAAAATACACGTTCTGCAAAAGTTGCAGCAGCTGACTTTAATGCTTATATAACTTTTAAACTATGATTTTATTAAAACAACGATAAAAATAAAATGAAAACAACAATAAAAATTAATCTGAAGAAGTCACATAAATCAAGATCTTGAAGAAAATTATGACTTTGTGAGAAAGAAGCCACTTCTTGAACTCTAATTAGGATAAACGAAATGAAAACAGATCATTACGGTTGGTTTCCGGATTTTGCCGTTATAATCTCCAAACGTTTCGTTTGGACTGCAGATAACTGCAGTTGAAGCGTTTGGAAATTATAACCAAAGAAGACCATGGCAAAACCTGGAAAGCCTATATTTCGGTATGATAACAGATCTTTTGTCAATTTATTATTATACAGGCAAGTTCGACAGAGAAAAATAATGGAAAATTGCATGGTTACTACAAAAGTTATTGGGAAAATGCATAATTACTACAGTAGTAGGAGAAGTAGAAATATTTTGAAATAGCTATCGCTAGTTTCGATGAATGAGGATTGATGTTTGGAAACTGTTTAGTTAATGTCGGTAATTTCACAGGCGCAGAAGAGATACTAAGAAAGAAACTAGATCGTTGATTAAACTCAACCAAGATGAAATAAACCAGATATTACTTTTCTAAACATTGTATAGCATTTTTGACCACCATTTTCATCTAACATGGAATGAATTTTGAAGAGGTTGAGCTAGTCAATGGAAGTTTGAATACAATTCTCACTGACATACATCGATACACGTTTTGCTAGGTTATGAAAATACAGAGGTGTTTACACGAAACCATTTCTGATAGGTCCTGATTAGCTGGTAGTTATTCTGAAGAAAACCCCCAAAGGAGATATTTGCGTGCTGTTAAAGTGGAAAGGTGTGTAGAGACTGACGTATCTATTTTGGAAAATGTGGTTGCCCAACATAGAACGAAGAGAAATGTGGTTATATACCAGAAGAACTGTATAACAGATTGGCAATGTTGCATGTATTGCTGATTAATGAAAAAACATTGTAATTTTTGGCGGAAAAGAAGCAGACAGATAATGTTCTTATACTAGCTTTGAAATGATGAAACTATCGATTCTAAGAATTTTTCCTATCACCAAGTATATTTTTCGAACTAGGGAACTAATTTTCTGGTGATAACGATACTCACTATAAAATAACAAGTATGGAAGGTTCGAGCGGTAATTGTGTTTGTGGAAAAAAAGGGGATGCATTTGCCTACCTGATTCGGTCAGGTGTCCATGGCTCGGCTTGATGTTATCTTCGCAGAACTTGGGTTCTTGATAAGACCTAGCGTATTCTTCAAGGTCTGATTGTGTCAATTGCGGTTTAGCTGAAATATCTCTCTCAGGTGGGGAAGGTACAACGTAATCCATGTCGCCCAGCGATTTACCGTCGTGATCCACTTTTGGCAAGAATAGTCTCTCGTTCATCTTATCGTAACGAGTTTCAAACGTTTCCGGTGGGATTTTTTCACACTTTTCCATCACAGTTTTGAGTTTCTATAAAAAATATTGAATAAAAATTTGGTTGAGTTTTCACCACAGTATTTGAGTACCACGATTGAAATGGGCACTGTTTTTTTTTGTCATCAACATATTTCTATGAAGTAGACATTGGCATTGTTTTGTTCTAGTTCAGATCAATGACCTACAGTTTCTTCCATCGATTTTCATAGGCACTGTAATAAAAAATTCAGCTATGTACGAGCTCTGTTCAAAAACTAAGGTGACTGTTCAAATTTAGCGGACCACGTATATTTAATTAGCGTTTTTATTGATTTTTCATGTTGGTACATTCGTCTCCAACATATGTTCTCAGTTTTAGCTCTTCAGCATGTTTAGTTTGTTAGTGGGAGGCACAAAAGTCGAGAAGTGTTTTACATGTTCAGCTATTTTCTGCTATCAAAAAAATGTCAAATTTTGTGTTAAAAATGGAATTGAGTGATAAAACACTTGAAATTGATGAACAAAAGAATTATTTTTGAGAAGAATGAAAATTTACCTTATTTTTTTAACCGACCTTGTATATATTAGACAGTTCAAGCTATCGATTATACACAGTGTGTAAAAGCTAAATGAAATAAATTCATTATTTCGGTTACGGCACATATTTCAACAAAATCCCGAAACACGTCAACTTTAAATTATAATTTGACATACTTCAACGGAAAAATGCTACCCCTACCTTCAACCCCCGTCAAATGACAGGTGCAACCCCCAATTTTTTAAATGGAAAGTATACCTAGGCTTGTGATACATCGTTTGACATATCTCTTCATTCTCTATTCAAAAAATGTTATCGCTTTATTGCAACAATAAAGATACAGTAAATTAAAATTGTGGTTACCGAAATTCGATATTTCGAAATTTCATATTTAATTTCAGGTTTATTTTGCCTAATATAATTGTTGTTTTCAGCTATTCATTTTTAATTCTTCTGTTTTAGTTGTTGCAGGGATTGTTATTCTATTTGGCTTTTACACACTGTATGATCGATAGTTTAAATAGTTGAACAGTCGATTATGGACTATCGACAGTTTGAACAATAGATTATTGCAATTCGATAGTTTGAACCATCGATTATGCATTATAAAACATAAATGCTATGTGCTTTTTAGATATATTTGAAATCTGTTGCCATTTTGACGATGTAAGTCTGAACCTAAAAAAATCATCATAAATAATGCTCAACAAAAGTACTATTGAGATAGTTCGAATACACAGAGCTATAACCACAACTGAACTAAACAACTAAGGTGAATATCGGTTTTTAGAAATTATCTGCTTGCCGATATTTACACATTCCTTATGGAACCAGATTATTAGTTATGGTCATAGCGAAGAGAATATTAACGCATTATGGACGTAAGGTATCCTCTAGACTCTAGAGTAATCGAATTCCAAAATTCATAAGGGTTCATAGCCACTTGATTTACAACATTCCTTCTGTGAGAAAGCAATAATAAGAATGTCCACATAACTGCTGTTTGTCTATTAAAGCAAACAAATACAAAGTCGAAGTAAAGCTCGAAAAATGTTTTTGTTTGCTTTTGATTAGCGTGTCGCAACTCACTTCATGGGAATTGTTATGAAGAAGGCAACGTTATTCGTGTTACTTTTGAAGTGAGAAATGTTATTTAATCGGAACTAATAGAATGAGGAATCAGAGTAAATTGATTTTTTTCTTTTCGCGGACTTTAAAGAAGAATTAATTAGAAATAAGTACATTATTCTAAAATAAGATGAATAATATATACATTGAAGACAAAGTGGGGACAATTCACAGCATGAATTGAATTTTGAAGTCATAACCAGTTCATGCATACAAAAATTGTAGGATCGCCAAATCACTATGATAATGAAACATTATTTTCAGCACTTCCACCTCTCTTGTTTTCTTTCGAACAAACTGAATCATCAATCCAATATAATCACTCTCTAATATGCGCGTTTTTCTACAGGAGTAGTGAAATAATTCTATACGGTATTAGTTATTGTTTATACCCTGAGGGAATCAGTATAATATAATCAATGGTAATTTGTGGTATGTTAATTACTGTGGTCGGTCAGCTGAAGCTTAAAATGAGAAATGCTAACTAGTTATGATGAAAACGTAGACGAGGAGTCAACCTGTTGGGTTATTCAACGGAAAATATTTTTCTATCATGTAGCTACTGAATATGTATACAAAGTAATGAACAGTGACAATTTTCAATTCGTGAACTGAATTGTGACAGATGAATGATTGAATAACATAATGTGTATATTACCAATTCAATATGAATATCACACTATATTCTTTTTATGAATATGAGTGACTCAAAACAAAAAATCGCATTATTTCAGGTGTAACACCATATATTTGATTCTACAAGAGAAACTGAAAAGTGGTATGCAGAAATTTCTCGAGACTCTCGTAGAAAATATATACCTAATTGACGAAATCAACTCTTTCACTGATTTTTATGGAGTTTTTCAGGGTCAGGGGGTTTTTCGCCTGAACAAACACATATTGATTTGATTCGAATATATATTCATCCAAAAATGTTGATTCAAATCTCCACTGTAAAAGTTCAATGTTGAAAATGATTTTGACATTATTTTTTGTTTCAACTAATGAACCCAAATAATGACAAGTGTGATTTTTTAGACCTGAAAAAAACGAAACCTATTTATGATCTTCAATATGTATCGATTCAAAATGTATGGGTGTACCTCAAAGAAGTGTACTTGGCCCGTTACTATTCATTTTATACCAAAATGACAGTGAACCTATCAAATTGCAATATAGCAGTCGGTGAAGACTGCTATATTGCTACATTGTAGTCTGGCGAATAGTTTCTGGAAAATGACATAAAAAAATAACATTCATTTCGAATTATATGTGTATTGAGAGTAATTTTGATACAACTTCCTTCGGACGTTAACTGCAAAAGTTCGAAAACAATAAACAAATAAAAATTCAGAATCATACATGTTGCCATAAAGAGATCACTTTTGTTTCTTCATCCGCCACCGCCCGGTATACAGATGTATTTTGCTCACCTGTTGCGTATAGACAGAGTGCTGTCTTTTCATGTACGGCCTGGTATAAGCCACTACCTTCTCCTTAGGATAGTTGGTATGATCCGTCCATGATTTTGATCTATGAGACCCACCTGTGTTCTGATTTCGAAGAGCCTGAAGGCAGAAATAACATAATCAGAATGAAACATCTTCGGTTGATGTATATATTTAGTTCCTGAGTAATCACATAGTGTTTACCAAATAGTCCGCATAATAAAAACTTGTACGACGGAATAAATTGCTAACATGGTAATTTATTCACTGGATGTCTGTGCCATAAATACAATCTGCTAGCTTTCAGGGTGAAGGAAAACAGTACTGATTTTTTGGGTTGCACAAATTAAAATTCATCATTTTTCACGATTACCACCAATTGGTGGTCATGGAATCACGGGCCATTGTTTTACAAGTCTGACGTTGAACAATAGAATCAATGGAGTTTGTGAACGAGGAAAGTATGTAATTGGGAGTTGGATCAAATAGTGAGTTGGAGCAAATATTGACAAGGATTGTGAGAATCGTTCGAATTTTCGCTAACCAGTTCAACTATGAAAAATAACTCACTGCGGAGTGGCCAAAAAATCACTTGGCTCTAACTGGAAACATGGGTTTTGAAGATCCTAAGGAGAACAATAGAATAAAAAAGGATCGGAAGTAACAGCAGAAAGAGGCCTGAGAGATCTACGAACAGAGAAAAACATAAAAATCTTGAGAAGCAGTCACGTCGGAGGACAAAAACTGAAACAAACAATTTTGATTGAAGTTCCTCTGCAGAAAAAGATAACTGTATAGGGAGTGACACCAGCGGATATGATATAGACAACGTAGTATCTGATGAACCTAAAGAAACCCTGTTATTTGTTCCGGAAGCTTTGAAGCCAGAAGATTTTGTAATCGCCAAGTTTAGATTATTGAACACGAAAAAAGTAGTTGAAAACCAGAGCCCAAACACAACAGGACACAATAGGACAAAGGCGATATAAAGAAATGAAGTAAAGGTCGATGATATCTTTCCTAACGAATTCGCCATCTATGAGAATATTTAGCCAGAAAATTGACTGTTACACTGAACATGAAGAAATACCTACTAGATAGGCTAAAATGTTCTTAGGCCAACAGCCAGATGGCGCCACTATATAGAATTCATATGATTTTTACCTTCAAAAACACGTGTACGTATGTTACAGCTATCAGACTAAGGAACATTTTGAATGAAGCAACTTTTATAAGTTTAACGAAAATGGATGAAGAGGAATTTCGTGTGTGAATGAAGCATTGCTTTTTGGCTTGATAAACATTATTTGGACTTTACACCAGAAAAATCATCCGTCGAAAAGAGGTTTGCTGAGTTCGAACGAGGTGAAATGCAAAGTGAAGATGATCTAGAAAGCTGAGGCTCGGAAGATATATAAGAAACATGTTGGGCATGTGCATGAATATTTGTGTATGTGAAAGCTCTGTAGCTACCGTAGAAAAAGATGGTAGAAAGTTGAAAACTGCAGTTCCAGAGCCTGTGGACAATATGATTCCTGGCTTGGATACTGGGCATATGGACTCTTTGTTTGATGAATTGGTCTGATTTAGTTGTACTAAACGTACGTTTGGTACTCTAACGGAAATATTTTTTTAATCACTTTGATAGTACCTGAATCCACAACAAACAATCCTTCAGAATTGACTGCAACACTCTTCTATATGCGATTTTGACCAACCAAGTTGACGTCAACCTGATTGGTGAAATACAGTTCGAGAAGAGTCTGGTTTTTGGACCATTGCTTGTTTTAGATCCATTTAATGTTATAGTTTTCAGTTCTACTTTTTATTACAAAAGGACCTAGTTACTTTTCTAAATTAGGACATTATGAGTTGTCATAAGTGAGGCAAATATGAGGCCTTGTGTGAAAAAAATGGCCAAGAGAATTTTGCCATTGAAACATTTCTTATAGTCTATCTGTTGAGCAAGTTGGAATATAAAAAATCAGAGAAAAAAAACGACGAGATATGTTCGATTTTCCCATTTTAAACACAGTAGCTTTTTTTCAATAAGCAAAATTTTGAAAGTGATAAAAGAAAAAATTGAACATTTCACCAAAAAGGCGAAAAATAACGTTTCGCCTACAACATTGTCATCATCAGCTGATCGTCAATCAAATTATCATACCTGTGGGGTTTCAGCAGCGGCGGGTACCGGCCAAGAAGGGAACTTTTCGTGTCCAGCCCCGTACTTGATAGACTTGAGGGTGGATGAATCTCTAACAGGTGGCGCTGGTGGTGGAGACTCGTCATTTCTCGTGGGCCGATCGTTCACGCTGACCGGCGCGAAGTTCAGCCCTGATTGGTTCTGCAAGTAGGAATACACGGAGCCTGATGATGGTTTGTTAGTTTCCCTCAAGTTCGGAGTCGACTTGGAGGGCATCATTGTTTGCACCAGGGATGATCTGCGGGCCGGATATTGCGGCTTTTTCGGACTCTCGAAGCCATCAGTACTAGCTCTGGAAAAAAAATTAATTTCAATAAAATGAATTCTCACGTAACATTACTTTGAATAGTTTATTGTGTGTGGCTGTGGGATAATATAATAACAAAGGAAAGAGGAAATGAAAGTATTCTTAGAACTGAAAGCGTCCTCGGTAGTGGAATTACGACGATGAATTGAATGTAAAATGGGAAACAACCTAATGGAAACCTTTAAGAGTTTAAACAAGATATGAACGAAAAATCTACCTAATGGCCTAATTTCAAGTAGAGTATATTATATAGCTGTTTTACAACTTAACCTGGGGGATATCATGTTTTATATAGAAATATAAAAATAATTACCTTGTATACATTGGTAAGTGAGTAGAATCTTTGTGAGACTGAGAAAAAACAAAGGTTATAAATTCCAAAGTAAATATTAAAAATCTACACACATCGGAAAAGTCTAGGGATATTTTATAACATACTAAATATTATAAAAATAAATGCATGAGGTCGTTTAATTTCGAGTTTGTACATTCTATGCAGTTCTTGCTCAGCAATTAAACTGGAAATATTGTGCTTTAACATGGAACGTCATCGTTTACCATTGACTGAGATTATTAGAGCTGTAGGGCTTCTTCAAGGTGGCATGCGACAAAATGATGTAGCTCTTCGTTTGGGGGTCTCCCAAAGTGTTATCAGTCGATTGTGGTGGCGTTTCCGTGAAACTGGCAGTCCAGCCGAACAACATCCAGGGCGAGGACGCGCTACAACTGCAGTTCAAGACCGATTTTTGGTCTTGACCGCAAGAAGACAACCGACAATCACAGCACCTGCGTTGGTTAACGTGTTGCAGCAGACGCACCAGGTAACCATTGGTCGTGATACTGTCAGAAATCGACTGCATGAAGCAGATCTCCACAACAGAAGGCCACTTAGATGTCCACCTTTGTCGAGAGGCAATTGCGGTAGAAGATTAGAGTGGTGTTAAGAACATCAAAACTGGGATGCAAATGATTGGGCCACAGTTTTGTTTACAGACGAATCCAGATTTGGATTTCATCCAGATTCTCGTCGAGTAAGACTGTGGAGACGACCTGGAAATAATGAACGTTTGAGACACGTCCAGGAAGTCCACACATACAGAGGTGATACAGTAATGCTATGGGGCGGAATCATGATCGGCGGCAGAACCGATCTCGTTTTTCCAAATCGCTCCCTCACAGCTCGACAGTACCTCGACACCATTCTTCTACCTATCGTCCGTCCGTTTGCTGGTGCTGTTGGTGAAAACTTCCACCTAATGCACGATAATGCTCGTCCACATGTCGCGCGTCTAGTGACTGACTGGCTCACCAACGAAGGAATTGATGTATTGCCATGGCCAGCACAATCACCGTACCTGAATCCCATCGAGCATGTGTGGGACATGCTTCAACGAAGAATTACTCCGCATATGGAGAATATTCACACAACGTTTCAAGTGAGAGAGCTTTTAATCGCTGAATGGGCAAATGTACCTCAACAAGACATTGACAATCTCATTTTGTCGATGCACGATAGATGTAGGGCCGTAATAAACCAGCGTGGAGGCCATACTTTGTACTGATTCCAATTTTTTTTGTATTATGATTTTTTTTCGGGGTGCCAAAGAAGAGCCATATTTTTTTTAGTTTTGCTTATATGCGCACTTAGTATTTTAGACCATTTAATAAATTTTGTTGTAAGTTACATTCGTTTAATAATCACCCGTCAACTTTTTTTTCCCTAAAGCGATCTAAAACAAAATTATTGCCATTTTTATAAATATCCCTAGACTTTTCCGATGTGTGTATTTAGCTTAAATAAGGTCAAATATAGCAAAACATACACAAAGGTGAGACAAAGGGAAAACCATATGAGCAAGGCATAACATGAATATATTATCTATTCAGAAGGCTTCAGATATATATTCAACTTTTTCTTGAAATTATATATGGAGTAGTGTCTAAATTCACTGGGCAGAGCATTATATTGTTTGATAGAGTTGTAAAAAAAACTACGAGAAAAGCAGGCTTTCGAGTGTTATGGAATAATAAAAGTGTGACGGTTTCGTGTCCTTGAATTATTCTGTGACTTGAAAGTTTTATATCTTTCATGAATATAATTTGGCTTTTTGTAAATGAGGAATTTATGTGTATTGACACTTTCCATCTAGACATACTGACTGAGTCCAATTTCTGAGGTAACTTTTCAATATGATCTACGGCAATTTCTGTTGTTGTTTTTTACCACTTTTAACACTTTTCACAATAAACTTTATTGTATTAGTTTCAGAATGTCCATATAGGATAAACTGCAGTAACGTTAGTTACAATTAAAAGTGGTAAAAAACATAGACATTTTCATTTCTCTTTTCATTATGATCTTCATTATCTCTCTATTCATTATCTCTCCATCAGTTGATATTATATCCCAATACAATAATAATTGTACATTATTATTATTATTTATGCTGTCCAGGAATTCTTCCGTATTTCACCCATATCACCAATCACTGTCTAACCAAAATGGTTTTTTATTCAAATAGGAAGAAGGCTTTAATATTGCCACTACCAAAAACTACTAATCCTCAAGAACTGAAGGACCTTGGTGCAAAAAGTATTTCACCCACAACGTCCAAAGTTTTGGAAAAAATAGTTGATCATCAGCTGACGAATTACCTGAATGAAAAATCAGTTTTATCTCCGTCACATTATGGATTCAGAAGAGTAAATCGTTGCACTATACTACCGTCTTGTCGCATATAGTCGATAATATTCTCACAGCTTTAGATGAAGGTTTATATACAGCCCTGATATTTCTTGATTTCAGTAGGGCATTCAACATTATAAACTGTGATGTACTAATTTAATTTTTGTGCCATATAGGAATATCTGAAGATGGTGTTGAATTCTTCAATAACTATCTGAGGAGAAGATATCAGAGTGTGACAGTTGAACTTTCTCGAATTGAAGTTGGTTGTGCCACAAGGTTCAATCGTAGGTCCACTACTTTTTTCTATGTATACCACCCAACTCGTTCACCACCCAACTCCCTTACACATTGTTCTTCTCATCTAGACGCAGATGACACCCAGATGCATTTTTATTTCAAACCTGAAGATGCTATTAAGGCATGTATACTACTTAATAAAGACAAGAGGAAGACTTAAAGTCTCCCTCTTGAACATGATTCCTTGGTGTTTGAAACACGTGTCGAAGTGTTCAAAATAACGGTTTGGTTTGGGATGAAACTTCCGTGATATTTATTTGTAAAAGTAGTAGTTACGAAACGATTTCTTCTTACATGTAATTCATGTGAAAAGAAGTGTTTGCATGAATATGGAGGGATCAAACGTCAAAGAGAATTTTTTCACAAAAGCTAACCTCTCAACAATTTTCCCCCTCCAATTTTACATGAAGTTTAATTCGTAAATAAATGAAAATTATTCAAGAAAAACTGTCCAATGAATGCTTAATATTTTAGTGAGGGAGTGTAAGATAATGAACAAAGAAACATATCGAAATTCATAACTGTTCTATGCTCTTTTTTAACTGTTTCTGACATGGCTAGACATTCACTGGCTTCATTGTGCGATATCGACTAATATAATAGAAGATAAATCCGAGTTACGAACTAACCAATAGAATTGGAAATGAGGAACGTCTCAAATTACAAGAATATCTCACAGGTCATCGACCATTTTAACGATTTTCGACTAGGCGTCCACCAGTTCACATATATTACCATTGTAACCGAGATATTTCTACCAGATAATCTTTCTGTAGACAACGTGTACCGATAAGATTGTTCAATATCTCAATCTCGAGTATAATTTTCGGGAATAATACACGGGAAACAATTTCTCGACCATTGATAACCTCTGTGTGTTAATTAGTAGAATTAGAGTCATTAAGTATAGAAAAATATTCACGAAAAAGGCGGTTCTCATACTTAAAACGAGTTTTTGTTAATCCGAGATAAGATTCAAGAACATCTGTTTCTATTCAACTCGATTTTGTTCAACGATATACAAGGTCTGTTCAAAAAATAAGATGAATGTTCAAATTTCGCGGGCTACGTATAGACAATTTTTTTTTGTGATTTCGCCCTACATATGTATCTGACACACCTTTTTTGTAGAACGAATACTGAATTCAGTAGTTGCTTACTTCAAAAGCCCCAAAAGGCAATTCCATATCTCAAGGAAAAATACAAACAGCTAACAATATCACCCAATGAGGCCAGTGATGAAAACATCTGTTTTGATATTATAAAACAAGAATAGGTCTGTCTTGACGAAGGTGTAAGAGAATAAGTTATGCGTTTATTTTGCGACGCGCTGTATTTTAGCAAGAACGTTTACATTCCATTACTCATGTGGGTATCGTCTTCCATCATTTCAAGTTCTGAGAGTCAGCGTTAAATTTTGTTCGGAATAATAATTGCTTCCTGCACATACCGTATAACGGCTAGACTATGGTATGGGAGGTGTTTATGCCCGTGGTACTTATTTGGTACCAGTCAGAACGGGACTGAGTAGCGGGCGATGGGAAAAATACATTTTTGACACGATTGCAGACATTCCCACTATGGGTAGAATGTTGGGTTAAGGAACTTCAATAAATCACGTTTTAGATGTACATATTCATCGTACAGTATAACGTAGATTTCTGAAATTACAAAATAAATTCTATATTTATTGTATGTCAATCATTGACAGCAGCAATATCTGGAAATGACTACCATATACAACTGAAACGCAGAATCCAGAAGATTCAGATGAAGCCCTACAGAAATCTTCAGTGGACAACTCAAAGGGTTGCCCTTCCTTTTTCATGTTTCAAGTTTTGTAAACAGCCGTAAATTCCATCTTTGTCTCGTTAAGGAGAATATAGTGGTTGCTTATGTCTGTATTGTTCACGCAAAAAAGTGTAAATATTTTGGAAACAAAATTAAGTCAGTCTTTTACCCATGAAAAGACAAAAAATTTAAATTTGGAGGAATATTG